AGTTAATTCTCCTACCCATTAAAATTGATTACCACGAACTATATAAATTTATTGTTTGTGATATGCAAAACAAAGAATGCATGTTACATCGATGTACACAATGTCCGAAAAATACATCTAAATTAGAAGAAAAGCTATTCAAACTAATAGGGCAGTTTGAGGAAGAAGATACTATCGAATTTAACCAATGGGTTACTACTGATAGATCAGATTTAGTTATACAGCTTGTAACCATACCAGATTATGTAAATATGGTGATGGAAAAACTAGTCAAGCTAACAACGCATTCATATATTTCTAAATGCCAATCTAAATATTTTAAAAATCTTAAAGAAGAACTGCCATCAGGTAGCGCAATAATTCTAGGAGATTTTGCAGAAAACTATAGTTTTGTTGTGCAGGATGAAGTACAAGGTTTCCATTGGAATAATCTGCAATGCACACTTCATCCAGTGGTTGTGTATTATAAAGAAAATCAAGTGTTGCATTCCACTTCATATTGCATTATATCAAATGATAACACTCATGATGTACCAATGGTTTACGAGGTACAAAAATCAATTATCAATAATCTGAAGCAAAAAATACCCAGCATTGTAAACGTGGTCTACTTTTCTGATGGCTGTTCATCTCAATATAAAAACTGCAAAAATATATTTAACCTATGTCAGCATAAATCAGACTTTGGAATAGATGCAAAATGGGTTTTCTTTGCAACCAGCCATGGAAAGCAACCTTGTGATGGTATAGGAGGAACAGTTAAACGGCTTGTAGCTAATGCTAGTTTGCAGAGAATTTCTACAAATCAAATATTAAACTCACGTGATATGTTTACATATTGCACTAACAACATCAAAGGTATAAACTTTATTTTTATTTCAAGTGAAAGTTTGATAGAAACAAGATTATTACAATCTGAACGATTTAAAAATGTAAAAACAATACCAGGAACAAGAGACTTTCATGAATTTATTCCTGTATGTCATAATGAAGTTAAGATGAAATACTGCAGTGATGACACTATCCCTATCTTGACCTACAAGTTTAAGAATTGCGAGATGCAAAGTGATGTGCAAAGTTGACATGGAATTTTAATTTATGCACCAACATGGCCTTGAATCTTAAAGACATTTTCTTGCTTCCTTTTATCAATTATTACTTTGAATCGACAGTTTGCTTATGTCTATGATATGTATATGACAATATTTTGCATTTATTAAAAAATATTACCTAATTTTGTTTTGTTTTACAGTCTAAAGAAAAACAAAGGATTATTTGAAGTTCAATAATTTGTATAAAAATTTATCAATTCATAAAAGCACAAACAATTCAAAGAGTTAATGCGTTTTGATATTTAAAGTTTATTTATGGACATGTCATGGATATTGCAGTTTTATACCTAAGTGAAAATGCCTCTTATTTTTTGACTAGCTTTGAGTAAAAACACCTGTTTTTAGTATTTAAATATTTTTAATTGAGTTTATTAAATATGCATATTGTAGTTTTACACATAAGTAAGAATTCTTACTTTCTGGTTGTGCCTAAACATAAGTACCAATCAAGCTTCTGTCTCAATCTCAATATACTTTCAATCAAAAATAAAAATTAAATTGTTTAGATTAGTAAGTCAAAAAACAGCTCAGTTTTTTTTTTTTTTTTTTAGATGTTTATATATACTTTAAGATTATGAAGTTTGGAAATATATAGATCATAACCTTTTCTGTAATTCTTTTTATAGTAAGCATGTTTACTTTTCAATTTTATTAAAAACGCCGATTTACTCTTATTGACTTATTAATAAATAAATAAAAATATTATTTCTTGGTATAATTTTATAGTTTAGCATCTAATAATATGTGGAAAATTTCAAATTATAAAACAATATATTTAAGGAAACAACGTATGTATTAGCATTTACTTGTTACTAAGGACGTTGCTAGGGGAGCATCATGATTAAAAATGTTACTAAGTTTTAAATTTTAAACGAGCATAACTTCTAAAATATTCCGATTTGTTTAAAACAACTTTGGGGAATTATTTTTAGCCTAGTTAAGTATCTTTGTTGCAAAAATTAAGTCATTTAGAGATAGTGGGTTATTTTTTTGAATTTTTGTTGTTGTTTTGACACGGAATTACCCGTATGTTATTTAACACTTAAATAACCGTATGTTACTTAAGTGTTGACGGAGCACCTAAAAAACTATAAAAAAAAAAGCATCAACCTGAGGCTTCTAAACATTACGTCTCAAATTATTATCTTTCTGAGTGATAATCAGAAGACTCTAGTCTCCAAAGCTAACTTTAAATCCAGAAAAGCTGAACATGCAATAGTAAATGACTTGCGGCATATTAATTGATATCATAAAAAAAAAAATTTTGTGGGGCACTAATTTATAAATTTGATAAAAGACTTTTCTGATTTAATAGCTAAAAAAACTTTGTACATATAAAAAATGCTGAATGATTAAAAAAAAATCTCTTTACCTATATTTGGATTTTTGACAGCACTGGTTTAACATGGATAATTGATTTAATTCAATATTTTTTCCGGATCCTACTTTAAGCAAACTGTCTTTTTTATAACACACAGCTTTTTGTTGTTCCAAAAATACTTTCTTCATTTCGGAAAAGTGCAGTGCAACATTTTCAAACGACTCGAGAACTTCTGCAATATCATAAAGCTGTTTTTCAAAATCACCTTTTACAAATACTACTTCATTGAAAAGCTCTCGGTACATTTCTTCCAAATCAGCATATTTGGTCCATAAGTAAAAAAGGTCAACTTTTGACGTGTTTTTAGTGTTTAATGTTTTTAAGGTTTTATCGCAATAAGTTAGCGTTTCTTCGACTGTTTCTAAGTCGTGTTTTACGACACTGTTTTCTCCACAATTTTTAGAATCAACATCTCTCAGTTGCTTACAAGCTTTAGACAGATACACGCATGCCTCGTTTAAAACTGATGCTGTTTTGTCAAATATTCCACTTTCGTATAAAGTATCATTATTTTTTTTTAGTTCTTCGAACTCATTTTGAAATATTACATTTTCGAGGTTTTGTGCTCTGACATTACTTTCTATTTTTAAATTTATTTCTTTGAGATTTTTAAGGTTTATTTCTAAAGCTTGAAAATATTTTGTCAGTTCATCTTTTTTTTCCTTCATAAAACAATCATTGTTTAGAAAAGTTTCTAGTTGAAATTGACTAACTAGTACTGATTTCGGATTTACTTCATTATTGAAGTTCGAAAAACTGCAAGAATTATTTGTCATCTTTTTGTTTTTATTTAAAGCAAGTGAGTTTTCATCAACCAGTTAATCTTTCGTTCATAGTAAATAATTTTTGGCCACAACTTTTCTGATTTTCTTTTATTTACAATAATGATATAAGAAATGCTTAAAGAAGACATTGCAAAGTTTATTGCAAAAATAAGAAATATAAAATTTTAGGAAATTAACAAAAGCTTTTTTAACGAAATCAACTGTTGCTTTCGTAATTTTTCAACTTTGCTGTAGAAATTAAAGAAAGCTTTTAAACATTTTATGGTAACAAAAGTAATCGCATTTTATTACAGAATTAAAAAAAATAAATGAAAGCAATAGGCTTTCTTTTGTTCACTGAGTAAATTTTAATGATTCTATTGTTCGAAAACGTTTGAAAATTTTTTTTCTAACTTTCGAACAAAAATATAAAAGGTTTAGAATAGAATAGAGCAGAAAAGGTGCTGTAAACACTTGAGGTGTGTAGAGTCTTAATTACGTGTTCAGAAACCGAAATAATTATCGATACTGTTTTTAAAAATGTTTAAATTATCTTTATCTAATATCCATTGTGGAAGAGAATTCCAATCATTTATAACTCTGTTTGTAAAGAAATGGTGACGAATTCTTGATTTTTTAAATTGTCTGCGTATTCTACAATTGTTACTTCTACTAGATCGCTCCAGCTCAAAATTTAAAGGAGGGTGGTAAAAATTAACAATATCTTTCCCTTTTGAGATCTTATATATTGAATCAGATCACCTGATCACCTCTTCTTCTTCTATCAAACAAAGTTGGCAAATCAAGTATCTTTAATCTTTTTTCATACAACTTCCCCCTTAAAGATTCAACTCTCGTAGCCCTGTGTTGCACGATTTCAAGATTGTCAATGTCCTTTTTCCAAAATGGACTCCAAACTGTTGCTCCATATTCCAAATGGGGACGTACTAACAATTTGTATAGTAACTTTAATGAAAATTCATCCAAATACTCAAAAGAGTTCTTGATCATGCCTAATTTTCTGTTTGCTTTACCTATAGCTGAATTAATATGATATTTCCACTCTAGATTATTTGAAATGAAAATCCCAAAATCATTTTCTGTTAAAACAGAGTTGTTCAATTTATATTCATATCTTGGATTCTTTTTGCCAATATACATGACTTTACATTTTGATCCATTAAATGTAATTAACCAATCTTCTGACCATTTAACTAACCTGTTAATATCCTCTTGTAATATTTTATTATCATCATAACAATGATTGATTGAAATAACTTTGGTATCGTCTGCATATAATTTAGTGTCTTTAATAATCCCTCTACATAAGTCATTAATGAAGATTACAAACAAAAGAGGTCCGAGTACTGAACCTTCTGGTACTCCACTAGTAACCATCTTCCAACTTGAAATATATTCCCCTATCACAACCCTCTGTGTTCGGTCTGACAAAAATGATTTACACCAATTTAACATAGATGATACAAATCCTAGTCTGAATAATTTTTTCAGTAATTTTGTGTGAGAGACTGAATCAAATGCTTTTTTAAAATTCAAAAATAAAACATCAACGGAAATATCCTCTTCATACGCTTGCGTGATTAAATCTAATATTTCTAACAGGCTTGTTATACAACTTTTGTTATTAACAAAACCATGTTGCTCTTAAGAAATTAAATTGTTTTCAATGAGGAACACCATCATATGATCTTTAATAATTCTCTCCATAACTTTACCAACAATTTATGTTAATGAAACTGGTCTATAATTTGTTGGATCTCGTTTATTTCCTTTTTTGAATAACGGAACAACGTTTGCACATGACCATAACTTTGGAATAGATCCTGTAATAAACGATTGAACAAATATTATTGCTAAAGAACTTGACAAAGATTCTGAACATTCCTTTAAAACTTTTGGGTGAACATTATCTGGACCTACTGATTTGTACATGTTTAAATTACTCAAATGTTTCTGAATAATAGAAATACTAAAATCTGGATCAGAACATTTTGTTAAAAGATTGTCGTCTAAAACTTCTTCTGATGAGTCATCTTGTATAAACACAGAAGCAAAGAATTCATTAAGAGTGTTTACTATCTCTTGATTATCAATAGTTATAATACCATTATGTAGCTTTATGGCTTTGATTGAGTCTTTAAATCTTGTTTTGTTGTTTATATAAGCATAGACACTTTTAGGATTGTTTTTTGAATTAAGTGCCAAGTTTTTTTCAAAATTGCGAATACTTTTCCTGACAAGTTTTTTTATATCTTTATTTAATTTTTTATACTTATTGACTTCTAAAAGACTTTTAAAACCTGAATTTCTGTTTCTAAACCGGCATTTTTTCTTTTCTTTACACATGCTTTTAAGTTCACTTGTCATCCATAGTGAGTTATTTTTTAGTTGAAAAGAGTTTTTATCTAAATTTAGCGTTGGGATATATTTTTCACATCCTATTTCATATTTTCTAAGCCATTTTTCGTAACATTCATTAACACTTAGTCCTTTAAATTCATTTACCCAGTTTATGTTATTAAAATACAAATCTAACGCTTTATAGTTTCCATTTTTCCACAAAAATTTTTTCTTCCTCGTTTGTAGTGATATTAATAAACTAGGTTTATTTTCATAACCAAATCGAAATTTCAAGATATGATGACCATGATCGATACCACCTAACGGTGGAAAATATTCAAGAAAATAAACTCTGTTGCTATTATCAGTTAAAATGAGGTCTAAAATGTTGAGAAAATGGTTTCTGCAAAAAGATGCAAATAAATCGCATAATTTTTGTCAGTACAACCACAATGTCAAGGAGATATTTTGTCGAATTTACAGAGTACATCAGCAATAATAAAAGCACTAGGTGGTGGAGATATTGAGTCGAACTCGCAGAGTACATCAGCAATACTAATGTCCTTATGGGAAGGAACTGGCAAAGAATATTTGATCTTTTAAACGGGAAACTAGAGCGGCTTGGTGTTGATTTATAGTTTTGCCTATAAGACAGCACTGATATTGCTTCGAATTATCATGGTCACTACAATGGACTACAACAAAAGATTACTAAATCTGCAGACTACCATGTACATATTTGGTGATGGTCATGTTCTCAACTTGGTTATAAATGAGGCAACCAGCTGCTGCACTCAGGCGGTTTCATTTTTTAATCATGTTGCCACGTTCATAAAAAAGTTCATAAAAGTATCAACTTAGAATTGTCAAAATGAAAAAATTGAAATTGATTGCTGAAACATTGGTGGTCGCGTAAATCACGTGCTTCAACGGCGATATTTGGAACACTAGAGAAACAATTTTCAATAGTGTTTGTTAATATGATTTTATGTCTGCGATCTATAAGTAAAGCCATTCCTGAGACTTGACATCATTTTGACTGCTTTGATCTAACCGCGAATTTTTGAAATTGTGGGAACTCTAAATGTAGTCTTAATGACAAACCTATGACAATTTGTATCACACTTATATAATTATCTGCACGATTTCTGTAACACAAGTTAAATGTAAAAAATAGTTTTCAAAGTTAAAGTTAATCGTAAGAAGACTGCAAGATTCTGTCAAATAAATACTTAGAGTCGTATACCAGTGACGAAAATAGGATTTTTTGATATTTGAGATTGAGCAAACTCCAAACTTTGTTTGTTTATACTTATGTCAAATAAAGATACTTTACAAAAAATTGCGATGAATAGAGGGTGGGAACGAAAAAGCCCTTTAAAATCATCCCCCCCCCTCCTCCACACACACATCCCAAATGTTAAACTTTATATGGTCATAATTTTTAAACGCTCAGAGATAATACTATGAAACTTAAAATATATCTATTAAATATATCTATTAAATTTATCTATAAAATAATATTATATATTAAAATTTATAACAAACACATAATTTATATTTTTCAGATCAAAAATTTTCTGCATGAAAAGTTTACTGAACATGTAAAATCGTATGGAATTTCGTATGGAATTCCGTATGGAATTATTACATTTTATCTACAAATAAAACAGTCTGATTGTTCTGACGACGGTCTGAATAAAATATCACATAAATAAATTAAAAATTAGTACTAAGCTGTATTTTATGTTTTATATATTAATTAAATTATCAAGTACTACAATAAATGCCATTGAAATAATAAAATTATCTATATTTTGTTAACTTTAAATATTTTTTTATCATCAAAAACTAAAATAATGATGTTTTTATGTTTTTCGGATTTAATATATCCTTAATCTTTAAATTTTATTGAACCCTTTGATTTTCACAAATACAACATGTATTTTAAGCCAATATTTTAAACCTAAAAATATTTTGATACAAATTTGACATCATTTTGTGGTCCTTTTATTACACATTTAATTTAAATTTATAGTTTTGATTTTTTTGATTTTGATTTTTGACAAATCTCTTTTATCTATAAAGAAACTCTACGTCTTCCTTTTGATTAGTATTTCTTCATTAGTTGGAAAAAAAATGTAACAACTTTTTAGTTTTTAAAAGATTTTTAGCAAACTGCTACAAAGTTTATACACCAAACGCCTGTGGAAAGTATTGTAGACAAAAAACTCCTCGTAATATATTGTCACTTTGCTTTACATGTTTCTATTCATGAAAAATAGCTGAGCTTTGAAATGAAACGAGCAGATGGCTTTCCAAACCATATCTTTCTGGCCAAAATTTTCAGTTTTATTTGTTTTAGCAAACTTCAAGCTTCGTTTTTTCCATGGATTATGTAAATTTCCTGGCTTAAAATGGTCAAAAAGTTAAGATTGTAGCAGGTGTTATCAGAAAACACTTTTTATTTACTTGAAGCTTTTTTTATAGCAGTTTTAGACCGCGTTTTTGGCCTTTGTTGAATTTCTGCTTTCTTTTTTCGTCTTGTAGCCATGTATTTTTTTTTAAGTTGAATACTGGTGTCTTAAGAAGTCCTTACGGTCTTATTACAGAGCACCACAGAAGAGCGTTTGAAAGGAAGTTCACCCCTCCTTCATTACCAATGTTGCAAAACTTGCCCAGAGGTGGCTTGGATTCACAAATCTCTAGTTTCTGAGGAAAACGCGCTAACCAATGTTTTTTGTAGATTATCGACTATCAATATATATATATATATATATATATATATATATATATATATATATATATATATATATATATATATATATATATATATATATATATATATATATATATATATATAACAAAATATCATTAAAAACATCAGTTTTTTTATGATATTTTGAACGGAAAACTGGATTTGCGTTAATCCTCTTTATCAGTTTTTGATGATGTTTTAAACGTAAATTGATTGTAAACAACAAATATGTATTGGCAAGTATAAGTGAAAAAATTTATTTTTCACTTATACTTGAATTTAGACCTCGATATCTCAATTTTTTTTCAATTCCACAACCTTTACAACAAGGGTTTGATATTACAATTACAGTTTTCCTTTGAATTTTTTTGCTTGCGAATTTATTGCAACAAAACGATTTAATAACCACTTTTCCAAAATTAATTTTTCACTTATAATTGCCAATACATATTTGTTGTTTACAATCAATTTTTTTCAAAACTACCTTTATATTATATGAAAGAGAGATAAATAAGGTTTAAAACAATAGCAAAAATCAAAATTGATTTAGTGGTTTCAAAAAAAGTTTAAAACTCTTTTGGTCATTTTCATTCCGGACTGTCTTTATTACACAAGAACTCAATGTGATATTTCCATCATCAACATATGTATCCAAAATGATGATGTTTCCATCATCAACATATGTATCCAAAATGCTATTTCTAGCTATTCTTTTTATTTGAACTTTATCATTAAAAAATAAAGCTATATCGCACAAATACAATAAAAGTTAGTATTTAAAAAATTCTAAATTCTAAATCTATTTTTTTTTGGAATTGATCGATACTGACGCACCTATTGTTTCATGTTTAAAATTGTTTAATAAAATTTCACTACTCTATTGGTGAATTATTGTCGTTTTATATTTCCTATAAATTGTCTTTTCAGCTTACTATTGTGGTCTGTAGTTTTATAGGATTAGGGAATTTTGGTAAAAATTTATGATATCATACTCATTTCAATTATTTAAACATTTGCATTTAATATTTCCTTCTTTTTCTATCCTTCAGCAATAGTAAACTTATGAATCTATCTTCAAAACTGTATTCTTTTAGTTTTTAGAAAAACTGTAAAACTTTCAGTTTTAGTAGCTCTTTATTAGACATTCTCTAGTTTATCATTATCATATTATCAATAAGGATTCTAGATGGATATAAGGATGGAAGAGCTGATGGGAGCCAGAGAGAGCTTCGTATTTTAAATGTGCACAAGTTAAAATTATACTTAAAAGTTTTGTTTATCTTTTCATCCAAAAATCTATTATTTGATCTGACTTAGTTTACAATATTTTGATTACTGCTTTATTTACATGATGTTTCCATTCTATTTAAAATGTACACGTCTAAATTCTTTTCCATACTTTTGTACACTAAAGTTGTATTGAAAGTTATTTTGTTTATTTCCTACTATCACGATCCTACATTTTTGATGGTTAAATTTAATCAGCCAATCATTTAACCATTCAAATTTGATCAACCAATCATTCGACCATTCCATTCATAATATTCTACATTTTGTTAAAGTTCAACAATATTATAATTGTTTTTTATTATTTTTTATGTCAAATTTATAGCTTGATTTTATTGTATTGGAGATATGATTAATATACACTACAAATATTAGTGGCACTTGCACTGATTCATGTGGTACTCTACTCACGACCTCTTTTCATTTTTATTTCTTATTTTCTATCACCCCTTATTAAAGTCTGTTCTTTAAAAATCCCCGGCTAACTTGTTTTTTACGAAATAGTTCATCATTTTATCTTTGATTGAGCTGTTTCTTTTGAAAGTCACGTAAAGGTTAGATTTTTAAAGGTTTGTGTTTTAACATGTACCGTTATACCGTTAACTAGTAAAACTTCTTTCTAAATTATCTTAATAAATTTCAGTACAATTAGATTAAATAGTTTCACAGATGAAGAGAAACCGTTACATTTTAATCATTATAATCAATAACTTGATTTCTTTGAAAAGGTGACTTATGTCTCTTTCAAAATAAGCAGTTCAACTATAGTTGAGTTGTGTGTTTATATAAAAGTATATATTCTTTTAATGATTTTACAAACTACTAATGTTAAAGGTATATATGTAATAAAGGTATAAAGGTATATAGTTGCTTGTATCTAATTTGTTACCATTTTTAAACAGTGGAACGATATTCGCACATAACCATAACTTTAGGAGTTTACTTGTTTTAAATAGTTAATTAAACATTAACAGTAGTTGTTTGGCTAAATTAAAAGTTGTTTGGCTAAATAAAAAGCGAATTTGAATTTCTTTGGAACCTTTGGGTGAACTTTTTCCATTCCAGTTTATATTAATGTTTATATTTCTATATTTATGATTGAAAAAGCTGATGTTGCATTTTATTGAATACCGATAATAAGTATCTATTCAATCTATTCGCAACTTTCAAATCAATAATACTTAAGCATTAAAGTAATTTCTTCTTAATTCTTTATTTTATAACAATCATTGTAAAAAAGAAAAATACAACAAGAAAGAAAAAATTTCCTCTTTCTTGTTTATATATATGTTGATTATTTGTTGTTAAACAGCAAAAAAAATGAAATAAATAAATAAAAAAATAGTATTAAAGCTGATATCAAAATTTTGTCGTCGATGTTTAGAAGTGTAAAATAAACTACTTAGTTTATCAAATTTCCCTCGATTGTATTTAAATTTGTCTATTTTAAATACACTCTTCATGTAGTTGAATTTAGCAATGCAATTATCGTGGTTAATACCTCTCATTGGTGGAAGGTGTCTCAGTTTATAAATTCAATTTTTATTCTCAGTTATAATCAAATCGAACACATTTGTCTCATCCCAAATTGTTATTTTAGAAAATTAACTTAATCACATTCAGATGTATGATACAGTGGATTAAACATTTTTTTTTTAAAGTTTTGACAGGATTTTGAGATTCATTAGTTAGTTAATTGTGTGAAAATAAAAATCAACAAAAAATTAATAGAATTTGTGATGTTGATACAGTTACTTATATTGCAAATTCCAGTTCTGTTGTTGTGAAGTGAAAAAATATAATAGACCAAATATTTTTCACTTTACAAATTAATAGCTTTTTTTTACAAGCTGGATGAAAACAATTCTTTATTTATTCAACATTTAGTTATGCTTATTTATTTAAAACCAATCAAAATTTGTTGCAATGTTGCGATGCTGTTATCAGATAAAAATACGTTAGTGTCATCATCAAACATGACTGCCATTAAATTTAAAGTATTTGTAGATCATTAATGTAAATGAGAAAGAGAAAGGTTTGAGTAAAGACCCTTATAAACTTCCCAATATTTAATATTTCATCAATACTGTGAGTAATTTGGAGTCATGCGTGTACTTTTGAGTATTTTTTCGTATTAAATGACATATAATATATTACCTTACTTAAAGTAATGTAAAGTAAAGATCATTAATTATATTTTATGAAATTCTTCATATAAAATTTTAATCGTTAACATTGCGAAGTTAACTGATCTCACATAAATATATGAGTATTAATGTAAAAAAATACTAGGTTTTCACGGATGATGAAGTATAGATCTATAAATAATATAAAAATAAACTTTATATATGGTCTCTATTTTGGATAATAAAACACCATTTGAAAAAACTAGTAAATAATTCAAAGTAGTTAAGAGTTTTAAGATTATCTTTTTATGTTGTAAGTTTAAACAGGATAAAAAGATTAATAGAGCTTCTCATTATCTTTATAAAAGGAGCAGGCGTTAAGGTTTTAGAAGCATATGACTGAAAAAAAAAAGGTTTATAAATAAAAATCAAATTTTTTTTGTTTCAGCTAAAGAAAATTTTGTTGAGCTTTCTGCTGCTTGCATCATAAAAAAACTTCACACATAACAGTTTTAATCTTACATTACACATTACAACATTACTAAGTACCATTACTACCTACAAAAACCTAGTACTCTGGCTACAACAACTTTCCCCAAACTTTTATGATAAAACCTTCTCACCTAATTGTAACTATATTAGATAAACAATTTCTTTTTTTCAAAGTTTATTACCATTTTAAGTTGAAACAATTTTTAATATGAAGAATACAACGACGAATACCTGATGCTTGAAACTTAAAAGAAAATATATGGAACCCTTTTTGAAGAGTACGTAGTTTATTGACGACCCCTTAATTCTATAAAGGCTAAATAAATCTAACTAAGTTGTATCGTTTAATCACGGCTTTTTTATTATTTTTATTTTGAAATATTCTTTGTTTTAGAAAACAACAAAAACTCATTAATATATCTTTAAAAAGTGCATCTTTTAAAATGGTCAAGTTTATGAGTTAACTCTAGAACTCATTCTCCTGATTATCCAACGCTGTTCAATAAGTTAAATATTCTACAACAACAGAGTAGTTCGTAGTTGGCTGTTAGCGAGGTTTCCATATTAATTTGCAGAGGTATATTATTATACTTTTCTTTGTTGTCAAGTGATTTTTGTAAACGCTCTAGTTTCAGTAACTTTCATAGAATTTTTTTTTGAAGTTTTAATTTATCAATCATTAAAAAAATTTAAACCATATAGGTTTGTGACAAAAAATCAAATTTTGTGGAAATAAGTTCAAAAATATCATTAGAAGCAGCTTTTACAACTAAAAAACGATACCAAACTTTTATTTTTGATGTCATTTCAGAGAGTTATGAGTTTTTTAAGAATAAAATTTTTTATGGGTAAAGTGGAATGTGGTTGTTACCGTAACTTGTAATTATCAACTCAAATAATCATATTTTCTTTAAAAATGATCCAATTAAAATAAAATTAGCATCACTTAAAAGCTAAGAAATTAAGATATTTTTAAGTAGCAGAAGTAAATAAAACATGCCCAGAGTGGGTGGTGGTGCCTCAGCCCTTTACCTTCCTAGTGTGGGTGAATTTTTTTGTAACAATCAACATAAATTGATTAGGTTCAAAATTTTTTTGGTTGATAAATTAATGATTTTTATCATGTCAACAAAATCTTCAATTGCCTCTGGCTAGCAATGAATGCTTAAATGGGTGTATTTAGGGGTTATTATAAAATATGGTATGTGTCTGGATGTTTTAAATTAAAATAAAATAACACCTGTAGTAAAAAAAACAACAACAATTGTTTCTATACAAACTAATTATTTCTTTAATTATTTGGTAAAAGTTAGATTTCAAAGGCTTTGTGCCACATAAAAAGTATGTGCATATGAAAATAGCTGTTTTTTCAAATACTTTTCAATACTTAGCTTTTGTGATACCATAGGGTCTCCATATATCTGCAGCAAGTTTATATATTAAATGTCTCACCAGTATGCTAAAAACTAGCTTGCTTTTCATTTGACAATTTTGACAAATCAGTTCAAGCTTTATTTTATCAATCTTTTTTTTATTCAACTCTTTGTTCTAATTTGGTTTACTACCTAGTAAACAGTTTTCATTTTTTCATCTTTATCTAATTTTGCATTATAATCAATTATAATTTATATTTGATTTTATGCTGCTATTAATTTTAATAACAAAAAAAAAAAAAAAAAGTAGAGTTAAAAGCATGTTAAGCAGCACTGAATATACCCATGAAGTCGAAATGACTTCATCAATCTATGCCAGCAAGACTTCTGCATATCTTTTATAAGTTGTTTATACTTTTGATTGAAATATTGTTTATACTGTGTCTTTAATACAGTAATAAAAGTCCCTTAAAAAGATACAATCATCTGTTTAACTTCTTTGTCTTTTAAGCACATACTTTTAAGCTATTGCTTCAAAGATCTTTAAAGATCAAAATAATTTTTTCATACTCAATATTCACTTAGGATTTTTTTTTACATGATCAAATTTTTTTTAAACTTCTTTTATGATCACAAAATCTTTGCTAGTTGTTAGTTTTTTTTTATTGTTTTCTAATTTTTTTATATTTTTTATTAATTTTTGTGCTAATTTCAAAATAAAGTCTTAAAGTCATAAAGCTATAATAACATTTTTAGAGCCAACTAGCAATTAAGCACCCATACGTTATCAGTGCTATCAAAACATATTATGGGACTAAGTGTGCTTCTCTTGCAGCCTAGGCTCGGGTGAGGATAGAAAAGTAGTGGGTTACAAGGCAGATAAAATATGTTTATCATTGATGAAAAACAAATCATTATTAGGTACTTTAAATTAAGGTTTTCTGCGCCATAATATTTTTCATATAATGTCTAAAAAGCGTTTTTTGTGCCTGTTATCTTTGATAGTTAGTACTAAAAATCAAACTAATTTGTTTTAAAAAACAACTTAAGCTACTCTAAATAACAATCTGATGCCTATTTTTCCAAATTTTGAGGGCTGCGAAATATATAAAAGATTTAGAGAGATAAGCCCAGACACAATTATCTACAGTACCTGCTCCACATAATGACAGCCTACCAGTTCTTAAGTTTACATCTCATCACTCTCTGAAAGTTTTGCATTTAATTTAATTAACCTTATAATTAATATGCATGAAAGTTGTATAAAAATTTTTTATTTTTATTATATAAGTTATATAATTATACATTTTTTATAATAAATTTTGTTTTAAAAAAAAAAATCTTGATTTTACAAACGACGATTTCTTTAGACAACAATAGTCTCTTTAATAAACTTTGTATAAAAATCATTAAAATTAATACAATCAAAAAAAAAATTGGGTTTAAAAAAAGTGTGAAGGATCTGATTTTTTGCCAGCCTCATCTTTAAAGGATCTGCAGTCTTCAGCGTGCAAAAGATGTGTACCTTTATAGCTGAGTAATAATTTAAAGCATCTGCAACCTCCGCATATTAAAAATTTGGAGCATCTGTTGTCTCCATGTATTATAATGCATATTAGTGTATAAAAATAATGTACGTTTTTTTTCTTTTATCATAAAAATGTTACCTTTTTATTTGTATTAAAACTTATCATCTTTGTTATTAATAATAGCTTATTAATGTTTTAAATTGTTAAGTTTAAGCATTAATTATTAATTATTTTTAAATGAAAATTTTTTAATGCTACATTTTTGTTTTAAAACACAGCTCAAGGAATTATAAGAATGAAATACAATATTTACTACATTAACTTTACTAATATTACAACACAACACATTTAAGTATTAAAAGAATGAAACATGTCATGAATCAAAGTTCAACACAAGTAAACTCTTTTCATCTATATTTCTGTTCCTATACTGAAAATTTTACCTAGTGAAGAAAGAGGTTGAGTGCATAAAATTATAATATAAAAATTATTGTTTCTGGAAAATAAAAAGTGAAGGTGTCAATCAAAAGCAGAGTTAAGTGAAATTGATTTTTACTTATCAGTCGATGGATTCAATTATAAATTGGTGAGTTAAACAAAAATTTGTTTTATTTATAAATACTGTATAGGTTTTACTATATATAGGGTTATTATCATGAAAAAAAATAAAGCAAAATCTCTTTATTCTTAGTAAAAAGTTTATTAATAACGTAAAAAATTTATTAATATATCAATTAAATAATACCCAAATAAGTTCACATGTTTGTAAAAAAGTAAATAAAATTTACCTTTTTAAATTTGATTGACACAGATGTGTTATACTTATTTAGCATATTATGCCAAATAATTATCACACATCTGTACAGTCAAAATTAAATATATAGTATTGTAATAAATTTGAACACACCATAATATTAAGAATTTCAAGTTATTACAAATTTATTAAACATCACATTATATTACATCATAAAAAAATTCTGCCATATGTTGATTTAGATATGTTTCAGACAATTTTTAATACAAAAGACTTCTTATCAGTTATACTTTAACAAAATGCTAAAAGCTCATTGTACTGAGAAAATGAAATATATTTCAAAATAAACATACAATAGTAAAGGTTGTAACAAAATTGTGTAATAATAAATATTGTTATATATATTATCTAAAAAGTATCGCACATAAAAAAATAAATTTATATACATAAATTTTCATTATTAATTTTTTACTAGGAAAATCATTGTGATTTGTTTTTTTTAGTGAGGAAAATTGTCATTAAATTCCCAAGCAGATTTCCTTATAAATTATTTCATTGTAATATGGGAGTAATTTTAGCATTTTTAATATATATTCAATATAATCACTAGGTTTATGTATTATCCTACCTCTGAGTTTTTTCTAAATTATAGAGTAAATACTATCACCCTCCAGTGAGTATGCTCTTTTTTCTAAAAATTTCTGTTCAACTATATTCTTTTTAACAGAAAATAAAAGAAGGTCATCGGCAAATGTTGTACAGCGATTTTGATAACTGCAACCATTGAAATATACAATGACTTTCTTGAAGTTGGGGTATTTTTGCTTGCATATTGTTAAGTGATATATTAAAATGGTGGAAAATACATCACTTTGTAGACCTCCTTCACTCCCATCCCTATCTGTTGCTTGTGTTTTTTATTTCCAGTGATTTTATTATTAAGGGGTAGGACATAATCAAGTGTATCTTTTTTTTTGTGCTAATTTCACATTGATATTTGGTGCTAATGTCACATTGATATTTTTGGGGGTTAAAATGGAAACATTCTTCCCAGCAGCTGGTAGAAATTTGTGTGGTTTACAGACTCTTATACAAATACTTCCTACAATACTTTCTCTGCTGCTTTGGTCTTGTAGAGTCTTTATTTTAAAAAATAATAACTTAATTTTGTATTTATTTTGAGCTGAATAAAAATTATTTAAAAAAAAAGTGCAGTATAATTTCAGTATTAAATATATTATTAACTTTTTTATTATTAATTAATTTACTAATTTAATAACAATAACATTTATTTATTGAGCGAGTAGAGTAAAATCCATGTAAAAAATACCATGAAAAAAGATAAAGGTGTATTTTTCATTTTTTGGTTTGCTTATTTCTTGGTAGTTTAATTAAGAAATAATATGCATGAATTTTTCAGCCTTAGATTTATATTCTTCATCTAAGTCATTGGATGTCTTTCCTACAATCATGGGACTACATTTTTGATAAAAAGTATTCCTCAGTAAAATATTTGCCCAGTTTAAAATTTTGACCTCAAACTGAGGAATCTGCTGGAGAAACTAGTGGTGTAGGGGTGCTCTTTTGCTGTACTTTCTGCCACGGAAAGTGTGTTTAAGAAGAAACATTGTCTGAAAATTCTTTTAAAATATGTGTCAAAAATAAACTTAAAATATGTTGTATAGTTATCAATCTCATCACGCTTTAGTTTTTTCTTTTTACACATCTCATTGTCACATCTTGCACCATGTTTTTTCTTTCTGAACTTTTTGTATTGAAATCATTAATTAGTTTTTGAACCAGTTCTTTACCTTGTTAACATTTACACTTGTCCTCAGCTTTTTAAGTTTTTTTACTGCAAGGTTAATATCTTGTCTATTGTTTCTTAATTTTAAATATGAGCAATTATATCTTACTTGTTTAAAAAAAGAAATTTTTTAATAATCTGAATATTTTATAAACTAATTAAATATTACAAAAGGCAAAAAATAACAGTTAAAAAATTATATATAACAAAAAAAATTTGAGATATTTTTATTTTATTTTATTATTATTTACAAAATTACTTAGTGCTCTGCTATTAAGGTACAGCTATTATGCAGATCTGTCAAAGTTATTTTATCAGATGCTTCAAAATTCAAAAGTCATCGCTACACAGAAGAAGCATATGCTCCATTTTTTGCATGCCAGAGACTGCAGATCCTTCAAAATTGAGGTGGCGGAATATAATTTAAATCAAATAAAGCATATTGAGGCGGGCAGAAGATCAGATCCTTAAAAATTTTTCCTTGCAAAAAATACATATCTATCACTTTTACGTGGAGCGCAAGAAATTTATGTTTAAGAAAAGCATGAAATGATTTTTAAAAAATTAAATGTCACTTTTTTATATATGTAGTTATTTACTAGCATGTGTTTATTATTGAAACTTATTTTTTAATTAATACAAAAAAAAATACTATAATTTAAATATTTATTTTATAAACAATAATTAGAAGTAAGTTGTTACTTTATTTAAAAAGGTTTCCCATAATAATATAAAATGTAAGAAAAGATAAAATATTTGATGTTATTCCAAATGTAATAAGAAGTTTAAATAATCTTTGTGTTATATTTTGTTTTGTTTGTTTTTTTTGTTTTTTTAGTTGTGTTTTTTTATATTTTGGGTTTTAGTTTTATTTTGGTTCTTTTTTTTTGGTCTATTTTATTTTTTGTTAAGATTTATCTTGTTTTAAATTTAATTTTTTTTTTTTTTTCTTTCGGTTGGCTAGATAAATTTTTTTAGTGCAATTTTGAAATGCTCAAATTCTAAAAACATATTAACAGCTGTGGTTAGAATTGTCAAACAAAGTTATTATTTGCATATTTTACGTGACTAGGGCCCTTACCCTAGCTAAAAATGAAACTTTTTGCAAATCCGGCCCCGGTAAAGTTATATAGTTTAGCAGGGGTTGATAGCTGGGGCTAGAAATAAATTTATAATTCTTTATATATAATAATTTTATACTTACATTTACTATTTATTAAATTCTGGCATATATTTATGCTAGTATTTATTAAATAGGGACAGATTAAAATAAATTTAATAAATAGGGACAGAGTAAAAGAATGCAACTTGTTGAAAAAGCCAAGCAAGAATGACTTTTGGCTCTAACAACAGACAGCTAATTGCTAAGATTTCATCAGGACATTACAAAAATGGAAAACTTTTTTCCATTTTGTTTCTTTGCGCAGCGGCTTTGTTCCTCTAGGTTTGTATTTCAGAGTTATAGAGTTGAGAGAGGGTTATAACCACAGTTAAGTAGCCTCGTCTGTAGTGGCCTTCTCAGCCATGATGAATTAACATTAAAAATATATGTAAATAAAAAAAAAACTATATGCTATAAAGAACTATATGCTAAAAACTGTGAATGATACGTCAAAACAAGTGTGATTTTTGATAACTAACAGCACTCTATTATGTATTTCAATCAATTTTAATGCAAACCTGTAAGAGCTGGATATTGTCTCCAGTGTGTAAGTGATAATTTAGTTTAAAACTTTTCCCTGTGAAGTTTTTATTATCTGAACAACTGCATGATTAGTGACAACATGGTCAGTTTTGGAATTTGTAATGTTTTAAATAATTTTTGTGTAACTTGATAATTATGGAAATCAGAATATAAAATTGCATGTTGATTGATGTTGAAAGATGCAATATGAGTTTGATCATGATGTTCAGTCCCACATGACAGCTAATCTATTGTTATAGCATGACACTAAATGACTTTCGTCGTGGAATGAATAAAGTTTATGTAGATTTTGAAAATATTCATCAGCAGAAACTTTTAGCTTGTCCAGTTTTTCTAACAAAATCATTTTTCAAGGTCTAATGTTTACTAAGCTATTACTTAGCTTATCTTTATGATTGTATATAATTTTTGTATTTAATTTATACATAAAAAATCTTTTTTTAACAATTGTTTCTCAGAAGTATCTTTAACAGTTCTTTAATTAATATTTGATAAACAATGAAAGTATAAGGTTTTGTAGTTCTTTTTAAATAGGTGTTGAAATAAAATAAATGATTGACATTAATTTGGCTTTCAGCACTTATTTAAACAATTTTTTTTTTTCAGTCACTTAAGGCTACAAAAGGAATGATGTCTGTACCATATTTAGGTTCTTTTTTAAATAACTTTATTATTTTTTAATACATAAACATTAATTTAATTATAGTTTTTTACTGAAACTGTCACTTTTTTATTAGTATTATTTTTATTCTTTATATCCCAGCAATAATCTTATTCGTCTCAATAAACTGTCATCACCATTAAGTAAAGGAGTTTCACCTGCCCCCATCTATACTATCTAGATTAAATCATATTTATCTCTAAATAGCAAATTGAAACAAAAAAAAGTTACATTAAATTATTTAAATTTTATTTAGCAAAAGTAATTTTAAACTTTAAAATAATAAGCTTTAATTTTTTTAAACAACTTTTATTAACAGATTTTATTATTAAAACAGGTTTTGTTATTTAAAACTTTTTGTAGATGAATAAAAGCTATATTAAAATAATTTTAAAAAATGTGTCACTTTTTTTTTCTTTTCTTTTTTTTTAATTTGTCTGTAATGGCTGAAAAGGCCATTACAGACAAGGAGGCTACTTCATTGTGGTTATTTGCGAATTGAAAGTTTATTTTTTGTGACAAACTAATCGAACGAAACTTTTTTTCATTAAAAATAAAATAAAACATGATAAATACTAATATGACAATAATAAACAAACATTTATTATGTTATCAAGTTTATTTAATTATAAATAAAAGAATGTAACAATTGTAACTGATTTAAGATGTAATATAACTTAAAAATATTTTAGGGGATAGTTGCAGCTGACGTTTATGACATATATGAAACTATGTAATAACTTTAAAGCTGAAACCTTTTTCAAAAAAGTTTTTTTATTGAAACTCTGTGTCAAATGATTTGTCAATTTGTATTTCTAAATACTTATAACAATTTGTGTAGTTGATGAAATAAAATGGCTGGTCAAAAAGTATCTATGAAACAACATTGAGACTTTTTTTTTAGTTCTAAAAAATATTTTTTTGTTTTTTAATTTTTTTTTTTAAAGAACTTTATGTAAGAATATTGTTCACTTAATCCTAATATGAATTACTCACAACCAGGTACAAACTTTTGTGAATATTGGACTACTCTGGATTTAGTTCCACACTCATGTGTTATAGACTCGTTTCCATAATGTCATTTATTCAAATAATGACACCAGAGTTTTCATATATATTTATATTTTTGAGTTTTTTGCTGCAAATAAAAAAATTTGAAATTAACAATCCTAATTAAATCTCATAAATATTATCAGTATAATCTAAATCTCATAAATATTAACAATATTATCTAAATCTCATAAATATGTAAATAAATTGAATTTATAATTTTTAGATGAGTGCTACCGAGAACTTTGAAATTCCTAAAATAAAGTTTGATGCTCGGTTTCCAAACACAAATCAAACAAAAAACTGCTATCAAAATTTTTTGGATTATCATCGATGTATTAAAGCTAAAGGAGAAGATTTTGAACCATGTCAAGCATTTAGCAAAATATATCATGGATTGTGTCCTAATGCCTGGGTATGTATTCTTTAATTTTTAAACATTTTTAGTATTTAAAACCAACTATTTAATACAAATGTAGCACTTAAATCTTACTTAAACCTTTAGTATTGCAACGTTATGTCAATTTTTTTTTTAATTTATCCATTTCTTGCTTGGTTTAAGTTGAACTGGGTGAAGTAAATGTTAACATTTTTTGCTCAATAAAATTCAAATCTAGTGGTTGTTCTTGATAACCTTTTTCGAAACTAATCTTTACTTAAAATAACTATAAAATGAAGAAGTACCTTTAGCTCTTGAAATGTGTTAAAGATGTTACACAAAAAAAAAATAAACATGAGTAAAAAAGATATTAGATTGTAACACAAGTCTCCAGCATCAGTTAGGTAAGAGCACCGTGGCTTGTTTTGCCAACAAATCCTAATAAACATATTTTAAATTCACATACGAAGTTCAGTTAAATTATTGATTTTATTGATTTCTGCTAAATAGTAATATGTTTAATGTAATAGTAAAAATGTTATAAAGTGTCAAATTTACTTAGGGTGTATATACTTTATTCTTTTTTAATTTTGAAAAGTTTTTTTTTTTTTGGTGCTAAGACTTAAATGTTTTTTTTTTTTTGTTTTTTTTAATTTTAATTTCATTATTTAGATTGAAAAATGGGAGGATCAGTTGGCAAATAACTCATTTCCTGGCAAGATTTGATGTAGACTTATGCTGTTTATATAATTACCATATTCCTCCTCATAAATAATTATCAGATTTGTTTTATATTTGATAAATCGAAACAAACTTGTTTGATTAAATCTTTCCCCGTTAGAAACAATTTACTTATATACTTATTAATTGACTTTGAAATTGATATTAATCTATTGATTTTTTTTATTACAAATAGTTTTAAAATTCTACATGTTTGTAGAATAAGCCCATTTAAAAATTTTACGCACACTTTTTTATAATTAACAAATTGTAAAGCAGGGTATTTTGAAAACTTAGCTGATCATTATGACCTTAACAATATATAGTTTTAGGCGAGTGTAAACACAACATTTCAATGTCTGTAATGAAATCAAACATGCATAAATTTACTAAAGATAAAGTAAATATATTCAAATATAAATAAAGATAAATATATTCAAATATAAATAAAGGTGGTACATCATTGGTATAATACACTTGTTAATAAAACACTTTTAATTACATGGTAATTAAAAGTGTTTTATTCCAGAAATTAAATAAACGACTATTATTGTGATGCTTATAACTGTAAGGATAACCAATACAAATATGATTGTTTATTTTAGCGAAGTGGTGGCATCGATTTCATTTTATTAATTTTTTTCTTTAAAAAAACCAGTTAATGTAAGACTTACAGTATCGGACAAAACAAGTGCAACCAAATAATGCTAATTTATTTTATTTATATGAAAGCGCTGCATTTTTTCAATTTAGAAAAATAACAATGTAACTGTTTAGAGACAACGTTCTTCAAGTTTTATTCATCAAAAAGTTCATTATTTGTACACGAAAGTTAATAAACTAATCAAAAGTATTAAAAAAAGTTGATTTTCTTCTGGACAAAACAAGTGCAACTCCACAACTCCTTGACCAAGCTGTATTTCGCTATCAATATTTCGTGGCGAATCCTTTGTTGTCAGCATTGTATCTTCAAGGCATAGATTCGATCAGGTGATCAATGAAACTTAGTGAAATTACTCACAGTAAATGCCATCGCTCGTCGAAATGGCGAACTATCCTATTCATCACTGATTAGGACAGTTCGCCATTTCTGCACATTTCAGTCAATATGAGATGTAGCAAACAGGAGTCTTTTCTTCTGGTTCTTAAGTGAAATCAGCGGTTTCTTTGCAGGGCGTCGAGAAAACAATCCGGCTTCAACAGCACGTCATCTGATTGTTCGGTCCGAATCAGGCAGTTCTAATTGCTTCTGTATCTTGACTGATGATATCCAGGGATCCTTCTTGACGGATCTGACGATCATAGAATCCTATCTAGAAGTGGTGGAACGCGGTCTTCCACCTTTGTTATCTGCTGCCAACCTCCTCGTAGTGCAATATTTGGAACATAGTCTTGATACAGTCCATTTTTTCACGCGATATTTATCACAAATACTTTTTTGTGACATTCCACTTGCGTAATCTCCAATAATTTTCTTTCTTAGTTCCAATCCAAGACTGTCGGGAGCCGTTTTTACACTTGAAGTCATAAAAATAAATAATCACGGTTATCAAGGCTTACCGTGTTACAATTACCTTGTGATGATACAATAATGGTCTGTGGAACACAACGTCTTGGTTGGATGTGGACTGCATTGATGTAATGAAACACTTGTTGTATTTCACTTCTTGTATTGATGTTCTTCGATAAAACACATTGATAAAACTCACTTTGATAAACTGTCTTGATAATACTGACTGATTGACTTACATATACTGACTGAATTACATGTCTCTTATATAGAAAAATGAACCTGTTCTGGAAGATTCTAGATGCTTCTGGACGCTTCCAGATGCTTCTTCTGGAAGCTTCTGCATGCTTCTAGAAACTTCTGGATACTTTCTTTAATTATTAAAAAACTTCTGTGACGTTGACACGGACCAGACTTAAGAAAATGAAACAAACCAAAAAAGTTGCACTTGTGCAAAATAGCACTTGTCAACGAAATTCTGCCTGTGTGCTGTCAGCTGATTGCTCATATCATTGCATGCTATGACTCCAGACTCCTGAACTGTTTGCTGTGTTGGTATAGTTCGTTTCATTTTTTAGACATGTAAAATTAGGAACACTTTTTAACATTGTTCGATGTTGGTTGCAAATGTTTTCTAACTACCATATCACTATTACAAGGCAAATTTTCATAAAAGTTAGCATTTTGAGGATTTTGTAAATATTGACAGTTTTATATCATCTCTTTTTTTTGCCCCCTTTATCGAAATCAATCCATTATATGAAAGTTTGTAAGAAATTGTTGCAGGTATTCTGTTTTTTTTTTAGTATTTTAAATCTTTCCCAAGATCCAAAGTAACTATTTTGTTTAGCTCAAACTTCGCCAACATTATCTTTGTCTATTTTATACATTCTAACTTGTCATAACTTAATTTTTTTTTTCCATAATTATCCATAATTAATCCAGTAGGGCTTAAGCATGTCTTTTAAATTAAAAAAGTCTTCCTGTGTTGGCTTTTCAAGAATGAAAGGTTTTGGTGTTTTCCTTACATCCATAACAACCTTATCCCAATCCTCAGGAATGTCTGCCAAGATCTTTTTTCTTGCATTGCTAAATAGATGGAAATCTGCATCACTTGGCAAAAATGAGTGGCCTCTTATAGGAAAAATGTGAATTACACGATCAATTTTTTTAAGTATATGTACTACCGTATACCAAAACCAAATCATGACAAAATTTTTATTTTGTCCAGAACACCCATCACTCAAAATATAGAGGGTTTTTGTACCCTGTAGCAAATGTTTATTTAACAAGTGGAGCAACATTGATATTACATCATTTTGTCCAGGTTTCGCTACCCTCTTATAATAAGAATACATAAACACATCATTTTGGGCTAAATCATGTATCCCAAATATATAACACCATAACTGTCTAGAATAGAACACAGCATTTGTAACCATATTTGGCAAAGGCAAATTTTGCATGAAGTCAAATGATATAACAGTAATATCAGTAGAAGATCTTGCTAGTAGTTTTAATTGTCGCTTTTTATTTATAAACTCTTGAGCTCTTGCCAAATGAAGGTTGTGTTCTATCTCCAGTTTTCGTTTGTCTTCTTCAGGAAAATTAAAAACAAGAAGCTTTGCTTTAACAGAATCACAGTATGAACATGTGTCACTGCGAGAAGATCCAAATGAAAGGTTTTACTTGGTTGTAAAAATTCTGTTGTATGTATCATTCTTTAGTTGGATTTTGTAAAATTGTAAGAAGAGTTCGTGCATTTTTTTAACGCCTAATGTTTCTGGAAGATATCTTACATTTTTTTTTTTATTGAAAGAATAATAGCTTTGACGCCCCTTGAAGGATTGTATATGATAATGAATGAGCTGTATTACTTGATCAGGTACAGCATGTGGGCGATTTTTATGTTTTCATTTTTTATCTTTTGGAGCTAATCCTGTACTTGTGATATGATTTTGAATACGTCTCAGTCAAGAATAAGAAATACTATAAATAGATAAAAACGCTTTCTTACAAATCTCATAGCTAAGACCATCATCAGAAAATTTTACCTGAAACAAATAAGAATAACTTTTATTAAGAATGATGGATTTGTATACCTTTTATAAGATGCATTAGAAATAATAAAACTGACCTCATACTTGTAAGATGCTGAATGCATATATTTATCATCATTTATAGGAATAACATCTCTCGGGTTACTTTTTTTCCTTGAACGTCTTTTTTCTATATTTCTCACTTCAATGCAGCCAGATAAATAAACATCTTGTTTATTTTTAGTTTCCATATTGTAAAACGTATCAAATATTACTGTTCTGAAATCTGCATTCACTCTTTCAAAACAGTGTAATTTTTTGCACCTTAACAAATTAAGATATTATTAAAAGAATTGTAGTTTAATTTTTCATTTAAAATAAAATTCTCAAGTAAAACTTGTTCAACAATAACTAATAATCAACAAAAAATCTCATCCAAACAAGCCAAATTAGCATCGAAATAATGGGATGCTAATTGGGCATACAAAACAAATAGGAATGGTGCATGCTAATTTATAATTTATTGATGATGATTTGTCATTGTCATCATCAACTTCATCATCAATAAATTATTAATAAACATGCATCATTTCTATGTGACCTAATTGGGCAGATAAACTTTAGCTAAAAACATAGCCTGTCAAGGAATGATGCATATTTAGAAATAATTTATTGATGATAGTTTTATCTCTGTTATTAGTTACTAATATTATAATGTAATGATTTATTTTATACCTGCAATCTTTGCCAACAGTTAGCAGGGAGATACTTTTCTACATGATAAACATGACCAGCTCCCTTTACTTTTGCAATTTTAATTAAGTTCTGCTTGCTGTAGTTAATTCTTCTCTTCCTGGGTTTTTCATACACTTGAATTCTCGAACTTTTCATCATAAACCCTGCAAAAACTTATAAATAACCAGAGAATAGGACAAGAAACATCATTCATAAATGTCAAGTGATAAATGATTATACCGCCGTAAAGCGATAAAAAAGTGGACATTTGCTGTTTTTAAACAAACCCGTTGTGACTATTGATGTTTTTACAAAAGTACCTTTCCTTGACAGTCATTTTAAAGGACATATAATTTATTTAAAAATAATTAACAAGAGTCAATACATGGACTTATATATTGGCAATCAAAAAATAACATAAACCCAATTTCCATAAAAGTGGACATTTGAGGTTTTCATTTCAAGGTCTACAATTATTGAAAATCAACTACTACAGGAAAAAATTATTTTGGTAGAAAGTTTTGGGTTATTTTAATCGATTTTATAATTATATTTATTATTCATACGACTACATTTACCTTTTTTACATTTGAAAATCCTTATGCATCTAGTTTACAAGTTTTTTAAAAAACTGTATACAGCTCACAAGAAGAAGAAAATTGGAGCTGGCGGTTAAAGATTTGATGTTGGTATGAAATTTGATGCTATTATTTTTCAGTCCCATTCCAGTAGATGCAAGTTATGACTGACCCATTGCTGTACTTGATGGTTAAC